CAGCATCTCGCCGATACTTTAGGGGAACAATCCGCATCTAATTCAGTCATGAACCGAGGTACATGCGCGGCTATATGGTTCTTCGGGTTTTCCAATACCTGACCGCATCCCGGTACTGGGCAGTCAAAGGGTCTCCTGGATTTCGGGCGATTCGCCCCAGAGGCCCTGTTTCCAGAATGGTCCGGTGCAGAATACGGGGCCACACGCCCCCTAGATGGCTGCGCACCGCGTGAGGCACCACGCCCACGTTGCGAGGCATTGCGCCCACGCATAGAAGAATTGGTGGTTCGTGGCCTAGCGCCACGACCACGAGCAGCCCCACTAGGAGCGGACACCCCCTGACGGCTGGCTGCCGCTCCGAGGCCTGCTCGCCTCCATCCCCGGAATAATCGCTGGTCCCCCACCCGGACGTCGTTGACTCTGATCCGCTCCACTTGGAGTGCTAACAAGTGGTGTTGCCCTCAAAGGCTGAGAGTCATTACATTCGCCTGAGTTGTTTGGCTGCGAAGCGGCTCGAGCAGCTGGAACTGCGGGACCAAAATACCGAATATCACGGCTGTTGAATGGGCCGGGGTTAGGGTCTGGTTCTACCGTTCGCACATGCTGCTCTATGGGGACTTCCTTCCCGGATTCGGTAACGCAAGGGAAGGTACACACATACACTTCCGACGGCAGTTGCTCTATCACAGTCGCCGTAACTATTTGCCCGACTGGAAAGCAATCTTGTATGGCGAAATGCCATGACCGTGGCATAGATGGGGGGGGGGAAGCCCAGAAGACACATTGCAAACGTCCCCTCGTAGCCTTCCATAGCCACTAAAAATTCTCCGGCCTCCGTCACAGGTGCTAACCGACGGATACGCACTAGCATACCCGCTCGTGGGACGGGCGGAGGCGCCTTGTCAGACTGCAGAGACATGGGTGGCGATCCGCCTTGCGTTGCCAAAACGGTAGGACCAGGTTCCTCGTTCCCTGACAGGAGAGAATCTAGAGGCGAGTCAGCGCCTAAATCTGGCAGAGCTGCTGCCGCTCCAAGTAACGGTAGAGAGAGTGGAGGCATTGGCCCTCCTGGCGGTGGTGCAAAGTCCGCCCATAACGGTGAAGGCGCTGGATCTGGTAGATCCCGCTCTGGTGGCTCGTAAACCATCTGGTCGTTGCTGTCCTGTTCCATGGGAAGTGGAGTCTCACGGCCACTTGATTCCTAAAAGATATAAAAACAGAGGGATTAACACCCCTAGATTCATACTAAATGTGGCACTGAGGTTATACCGCAGCGCAAGTTGGACACCTATAGCGGTCAATGTCAACCGCTTCAAACACCATGGTACCATTCGCCACAATAGTCGCATTCGATCATGAAACGGCCTTCCCATGGTTTCCGGCAAAGGCAATACAACTGATCATCTAAAAAATGAAAACAAGGTCCGATAAAATAACCTTATACTGAGAAATAAAATAACTCAGGCCTACACCCAAGAATTAGAACTCAAAATTGAACTAAAAATAACTAAAGACAATCCTTTTAGCATCAAACCCAGAGCTGGGAATGACGATGGCCTACTAATAAAATTAGCACGCCAGGGAAATCCCAAAGTACAGTCTGTATCTAAACACACCAAGGAGATCCCTATATTCCACGTTACTATTTAAAATATCAAGTCTAAGATTAAACAACGTTACCAGGCCGAAAATAGCTCAGCCAGGCTAAAAATAGCATTACATCACCAGGGCTATACGTCAGCCAATCGCCGACGACTAGAATGGAAAATTACAGCAAAATAACCTTTGACCTGAAATCTAGGTCAGGCGAAAACGCCAAAGCCTAGCTCTGATTGGTTAAACCTATTGAAGCAGAAGCTAATGACGTCACCAACACTGACTTGTTGTTGGCGAGAAGTTAGGCCAAAGTTTTGCTTGAAAACGAGGCGCTGCAGTTGAAATATGATCACATGAAATCACAGTAAATGTACATGTATTAAACTTCAGAATCTACTATCAGTCACTAGTATTATACTTCCATTGATTCAAATACAAGGCCCATATGAAGGCTGAATCCCGATGCTATAAATGCAAATGGTGCGTCGTGTTGTTCTTTCAAAATTGAACACTAGGTCCCTCACAATGCGCAGAGCAGCTGATCATTGAGGCTGAAACAGACTTGAAATCAGTGCATATGCAAAATATGTTCTATAAGGATGAGTTTGAATAATTCATGAAGATTGTTCCATAAACCGTTCTCCTGGTTGTTATGGGAATAGCCGTATTCGACTGGTCGTTCTTCGTTAAACCACGCCCACATGCGCAGTGGTAAAATTTTACTTAACGAAGATGACCAATCGAATAGAAAACTTGCAAATACTCAATAAATCAAAATGGCTGCCTAGTTACTGCAATACACGCTGTGTAATCAAGATTGATTCAGTTTTTCGTAAAAATACATTTTCTTCCAGTTCGAAAGCCTACAATTATTTTTTGACTTGTGGGTAAAATATTATAATTTTTATTTTCTGAAATTTAATCTAAATTATATTAGTTATATTAGGGAATGTTGTTTCTCAGCTCACCAATCGGCCATGTTTGTTTTGGTCACGTGAATAACGCTGATTAATGCACTTTGGTTTACATTAAAGCTCCATTCCCGGCAAAATTTAATTAAAAACAACACTTTTTAGAAAAAATTCATATGCATTTCTCTATTTATTATAAACGATGGAAAATTATTAGCATAAATTTTAGTTTTACGTAAAAGAATAAAAAAATGAGAAATACAGACTTTTTTTCATAGAGATTACCATTTTCTCGACGAATTCTTGGTTACTAGGCAAATTCAGAGGTTGTAGATCGCATCCGCTGTAATGCTCTTGCTTTTATGTATACTGTACTTTATACAGTAAATAAAGTGCGCCCTCTAATGAAATTGGTTTTTGTACTTTGCATCTCGCACACTGCGATCGATCGAGTAGGCCTGAGATATGTTTGTTTAATTGCTAAAATCTCGGTCACAAACATTTTTTTAACAGATTTGAAATAATAAGTGTCAGTACTAGTAATGGGAAATATCATGTCGGCCGTTTTTTTGTGCGATAACAGAACCTAAATCGAGGTAAGGCTAGGGCTAGCCTAGCAGTGTTGGATAGGCTAATTGTTTTCGGCGCCTACTATGTTTCTTCGCAGACCTATCGCAAATTCAAACATGAAAAATCCTTCTGCATTTATTTTTGAGTGGAACACAAAAAATCAAATTTTAGTCTTATTTTACATTTTTTTCATGTTTAGGAATGTCTAAATTCAATTAAATTAGCAATTTCGTATTACATTTGTGGCGATGTCAAGCAAAAACGGTCGGAAGTCGGAAAAACCAATTTTTATTTAACACCATCAACTGAATAATCACATTCTAATAAATAGAACAGTGAAAAAATTATTAAATTCTGATACTAAAATTATACCGATTTATATAGCACGATGTTAGCAGAAACAGCTTTGAAGAAACGGCCATAAAACTGATGTATATAACGCCCAGTCGCTGGCAGTGCGCTCAGCGTGTAGCTCACTCACATGTGTTCGGTGTGTTCGATACTTCCTTAACAATAGAGGAGTTACCATTGACCGAATGACATTTTACATAATGTATTTTATAACTGTACCAAGTTTCATGTACTTACATTCATTAATAAATGTGATATTACGGATTCAAACGGGGTCGTTTTTACTGTAAACAACCGGAAATCGAACATTGCGACTTTGAAACCAGTGTGTTAAACTATTACAGAACGCGTTTTATTCGTCCTAAACTTTATCAAGTCTGCATTATACAGCATAGACCATTTTGCAAGTACCTGTACTACCGAACTTCCTTGTGTAAAAGAAACAGTATTATTGTTTTATAATTATTACAGGTGTATAACAAACCTCAAAGAAGTGATGCAATTTTAATTCAATATTTATTTTTTTTATTTAAACATCAGGAATTTCAATCTGTAGGTAATATAATATCACTTTCTGTTGATTGTGTTTTTTTTTTTCATCTTCAGTTGACGTTAGTTAAATTTTCTATCATACCATCATCATTGATGATTTATCACAAAACAAGTATTAATAACAATCACCACCATCAACTAAATTTTCTATCATGCCATCATTATTGATTTATCACCAGAGCAGGTTATAATAACAATCACCACCATCACACAATTTTATATGTTTTCTAATTATAATGGTTAAATCAAACATAACAAAGTACAAACACTGTCGTTTATTAATTTTAATAATCTTTATTATTATAACATACACAGATAATCATAGTACTACGTGTAAACACCTATTAATTACATGTTTTTTATGGCGAGTCGATATAAGAATTATACTGTACTGAAAAAAAATAAATTTATGATTTATTTCTTTTTAATCATTTTAATTTAATAATTAAAGATAAAATTGAGCTTTCCTGTCCGCATTTTGTAAGGGCTTCGGACCTTCAGAAATATAAAATTTCAGGCTGTATTAAAAAGCTTTATTTTTGTTTTTGTTTTTTTTGTTTGTTTGTTGGTTTTTGATTTTTTTTTTCTGAACACCATTGCTGCTTAGATTTCTTGGAATTTCCATTACTTCCTCAGTTTTTGGATTTCTTCATTGCAGATTCAACTTGGCTTTCCTGTAGACCTAGCCCATCTTCCTGTAGAGGCTCTTCTGGCTCGGGACTAGGTCCTGATGTTCTGGCCTTACATACGGTCTGATGTACTTATATAAATAGTGCTTTCGTTTCACACTAAGGCCAGGTGGAGCTTCAAATGGAGCGTCAACCTTGGTTTTCACCAATTTCTGCTTTATTTGACCAAAAGCACCGTCTGGTAGGAACTTGGTGTGCCCTGTCAATAGGAAGTTCAGCGTGATCTTACGGTGACGGCCAGTAAGCACTCTCCATAGTAGATAGCCTATCATAAAGTTATTTTTGTTCTGCGCGCAGCAGTTGTCAGTATGCAGATTTGCAGTTTTTTCTCCAGCAGCCCAGTTGTTAAAGAAGTGGTGGATAAGATTAATAACCAGCTCTGCTCCTTTCTTTACGATGACTGCCTCATCGATAAGATAGTTGACCTATGTATAAAAAACAGTAAATATTTAATACCAAAGTGTATAAAATAAAATTAAGGCCACGATCGTGCTAGATTTAAGTACAAATCCTCGTACCTGTTTAGTCAATCCTGTTGAGCATATTCCAAACAGCTGACACTTCCTAGGTACAAGGAAGTACAAGGAGCCAGCCTGCATTGGGTCAGTTGGGAAGTGCACCTGCTGTGCAAAATCAAATGCATAGTGTGCAACTCCATCAAAAGACATACACCTATGAGGTGTGTCTGAAATATAAAAGAAAATGAAGAGAATATTTACCGTAAGTTTATGAAGTCAATTAAAAAATACATTGAAATTTGAATGACTAAGGGACAAGGTTATGATGCAAAAAACCTTTGCTTCTTTTTAATGCGGTTGTACAGGTCTCGCTGCTGACTTGCTAGCGTCAAGTGTCTCTGATATTCTTCCACCCTCTCCACTTTTTCACGTACAGTAGCACCAGTAGTCCTTGCAACCACATTCGTATGAAGCTGACAAGTTCGACAAAGGTCAGACCTAGGCTTAGCAATGACAATTTGTGGAAACAACTGTCTTCACAAACGGCAAAAAAGTTGATATGAGATATCACCGGCTTCAGCACCTGAAGAGTGAAGAATATAGTATGATAATTTAAAAATACACTTATGATCAAATTAAAAATGATTAATTAACTAAAGTAAATATAAAGTTACTTACACCAAGCCTTCCTTGCATCATTGAACTTCTGACAGACGTTGCGTTTTGTTTCGCTGCTCGAAAGCAGGATGGTGTCTGCATCAGTTGAGTGAAGACCAGGTATACGTCCAGGCAGTAGTAGTCCCTGCTCCTTACCATAGCGCTTCATGAAAATGGTGAATTGCAGCAGACCATTAAAGTTAATGCCTTTCTTGCAGTTTTTTGCCACAGCAAAATTTTTGTCGACATGAGTGAAACCTTCCCTCAGATACCATTTTTTGACGTTTGTCAGTTTGGTCTGGCTTACACTAAAAGATATGATAACACAGATGATATAAAAACAAGAACAAAACAATCAACTGAAAATTAAAGAACCAGCAACAAGATGTTTTATTTGACTATTCTGTTAATACTTACTGGTAAATAAACTTGAAGGTTTCACGACAAATTTCCTGCTTGTGGAAGAACTGCAGTCTAGTCAAATTCAGCTGCTTTTGTATCTTCCTTTTTGAACTTGACATTGTTTCAGAATTATTTATTTGTGCTTGGATAGCCAACATTAGGATGAGGTCTTTCTCGCCTATAAAAAAAAAAAGAAGTTATTTCATAGTAAATAATCACGTTCTTAAAGTAGAAACTATTAAATGCAGTTATATAAAGTATAATCATTATAAAAAAAATTTACAAAAATAACGATAATTAAAAAGGTACAACTTACTCTGAGAAAATGCCAGCATTTCCAACCGACATTTTAGCAGCTCATCATGACCTCCAATTTTTTCCCAACATCTGTTTCTACATCCACATTCAAAGACAGAAACCTTCCTCGATTCATCATCCATCACAGGATCTTCGAACAAAATCTCGTCCAGGCCATGGGATAAAACCGGCCGCAAAACTCGATTTCCAAGGTTCTGTTGATTTTCTTTGTCACCTTCTTCTAGGCCTACTAAGCCTATACGGGCCAGATCGTCGTCGTCGTCGTCATCGTCATCCGAAAGATGAAGAACAAAATCATTCTCTTCGTTGCTAGACTTCCTAGGCCTAGGAGTACCAATACTCGAAGAACCACCACCACTCGTTCGCGGCTTCATACCACCTCCACTACCACTACTGATACCTGGTCTGTACTCATCGTCAGATTCCTCGTCATCAAATTTATTGCCAAAAAAATCTTTAATAAATTCATCGATTATATTGCAGTCTGAATCACCGACGATAGTTTCTCGATAAAATTCTAGCTTCTCTCTTTCTTTCTCGTCCATGTTCATATAGCATTATAGCATTAAAACGGTAAGGAATAATAAAACACCTGTAAACAAGCTTAGAACTTCGAGCTTCGATGAAAACATGTAACGCGCACTACTACCTTGCCGACGCTTCCATCGAAAACCCAAGCGACGCGGTCTTAGACACGCCCCAAAAATGGTCAGTTGACTGGATTAGACCAATCAGCATGCGTGTTTCTGTTTGTTGCTAAACCGCTTCCGAATTGTTTACAGTACCAAAACGACTGTTTTGATTGGTTAAACAATTTGTGAGGATGACCTGACCAATCAAAATTGTAGCTGACATTCTAAGCTTTCCAACGATATCAAACTTGACACGAGTTTGACCCCGGAACACGATTGAAAAAAACAGTAATATCATGAGTATTTTAAACAATGATTTGCCTTCGTTTTTCATACTTCCGGGTTCGAGTGTCTAACTAAAATCACGTTTTACAGTATTTTTGGTACTTAAATGTGAAAAATATTATTTGAATCCTATTCTTAGATACTTAATATACATGTTTTTAATGAAGTACCAAAATGAGCAAATTTGACCTTGTCTATTGTTTTGCCTTTATATCTCAAAATCGTCTGAGCGACTTCCGTTTTGGCTTGACATCGCCACATTTATAAATCTTTATAATGTATATAAAAATCACATTTTTCTTAACAACTGAAATCTTGCCGGGAATGGGGCTTTAATTTTCATTGTCAGTGAAGTTTATTTTACGAACCAGTCAAATGAAAATAATACTAAACGAAAATTTGTAGTCAACGAATTGAACCAGTCGAATAAGCCCACTATCTATCTAACAAGGATCAAGGCCTGATCGCATGCCAAATCAGATCTCTAACAACAATTTATCAGGCTGCCATATGTTCAAAACTGTCTAGGACCCGATAGCGCTTTAATACAAAAAAGAGGTAGCCCCATTTGCATTTGAATGGGACGTGTATCCTGTTCCTGTTCATGTTAGCCCCTCATCACATGTGTTCATTTATAAAAGAAAAATCCTTGTTTGCAATATTTTCAGATTGCCTAGCCTACTATTAAAAGTAATGTTTTAAATAAAATGGAGCATAACCCTTTTTTTTTTGCATATTTAAGCTAACCATATCTGACCAGTGTGATTTTTATTCCCTCATCATGTACTTCATTAAAAAGGAAGTTGAGTAAAAATGTTATCCCCTCATCATATGTGTTCATTTATAAAAGAAAAAAATTTTATTTGTAGTATGTTCAGATGGCCTAGCCTACTGCTAAATGTAGAGCCTCAAATAAAAAAAGGGGCATGGCCCCTATTTTTAGCATATTTAAGTTCATTAAATGATTACTAAAATCGTATCTCCTCATCATATGTGTTCACTAAATTAAAAAAAAACCAGTGTTTGCAATATGTTTAGGTTGTCCAGCCTACTGTTAATATAGCACTTCCAATAAAAAAGCTTCGTGTCTGCTATTTTGCATAATTAAGCTAATTTGCATATGAATGTGACTTTTGATTAAGGTGAGATTTCTCACATTTGATTTCCTTATCAAGTGTTCTCTTATAGAAGAAAAAACTTTCTTGCAACATGTTCATATTGTCTAACCTACTGTTTAAAAAGAGCACTTCCAATGAAAAAGTGGGCATGGCCATTTAAAAAAGGGGATTTTCCAGCTGTTCGTTTGGTATACATCCCATGTTGTTCCTAGGTGCATACAAATCTATTCTAGTCCTCCACTATATGTAGCTTTTGTATTTTTGGCTCAACAAAATGAAAGTTAACCATTATCCTGATATTGTTTTTACCCATGTTGTTCATGCTGTCGGAGTTGTCGTTATCATTTAGACCGATCGGATTTGGAGGAAGGTGTCACGTTTTTGCAGAATTTACCAGACCAACTTTTTCTAATGTATTTTTTGACGTAGATTACGAATCTGATTGTTGATCGGTCCAGGGGGGGGGGGCTTACAGACTTAAAGAATTGAGATTATGGGCCTAGTTAGCTAATCCTAGGTCCAAGCCTGAATTTTTGGTAAAATCTGGGTGAAGTTGGCCCTTTTTTCCGAAATTTGCGAACAGATTTCAAGGCCTAACTTTTGCGTGAAGATTGTGTTCCCTGTGCAGGCTTTACCTTACACTCTTGGACCTATATGCCTAACTAATACTGTAGATGGTTAGCCTAAACTAGGTAGGCTGTTTACCTGGATAAGTTGGTGGGAAGGGGGGGGAGGTGGAAGCTTGAAAATGAGGTGATTTTTAAAAATTACTTGAGTGTAATTATTTTACTCCCAACTGGTAGAGGCGTAAGTAGCAGGGGTGGGATGAGAGGCCTTTTGGAAAGTTTAAGAAAAGGAGAAAAAAGAAAGAAAGAACAAGAAAAAAATGATCGCTCAAAATGCCTCAGAGGTTATTTTGGTCTTCTAGAAAACAAACAAATAATTTTTCAGGCAATTCCCCCGGACCCCCTAGGGTAGTGTTATGTCGATCGGCCCAACTTTTGGCACCCCCTTTTTCGGACATCTCTGGATCCGTGCCTGAATAGGGTGTGTGCAGGAGGGAACTCACTACCCATACCAAGTTAACAGACCCCATTTCCCTATGCCATCTCCCCACTCTATCGTCCTATTCCATTGTCCCCACCCCTTCAGTTCCACCTCATCGACCCAACCCCATTAGCCCCACCCCATCTCCCGCAACCCCTCTACTCACCCTCTCCCCACCCACCCCACTCCTGTTCTCGACATCACCCTCGTTCACGACCCCATCCCATCCCTGTTCTCGACATCAACCCCATTCACGACCCTATCCCATCCCTGTTCTCGACATCAACCCCGTTTACAACCCCATCCCACCCCTGTTCCCGATTCTCACCACCCCAACACACCTTAGGGGAGAGACTAGGGGACAGAGTCCTCCATGGCCATAATAATAATCATTCTAAACAATTTCAAAATGCTTATACATTTTCAGAATTCAGAATATTTAAACATATTTTACTGGACAAAATTGCACTGTGGGGAGGCTATGCTTTTATTGCATAGCGTAAAAGGAGTAATTCTAGTTGTGTTCTGTTTTTATTCCGATTTACTCAGTGCATCGCTCATTCAAGACGCTTCTGCACACCCTCACGCAACAGCATGATAAACTTAGCCAGATGATGATTACTCAGGCCCCAAATGCTTCCCTATATTTTGGACATTCTGAAGTCGTAGCTCTACGAGAAGCATTGACAAAGGTATGTTAACTTATTGAGTGAACTGAAGTTTTACTTTTCTTTTTATTGATTCATTTTATTCTTCATACTAGAGACAGTAATAAGAAAAAGAAAAGTTCATCAATTGGATGTGTCAGTAGGTGCAAGCACCTCAATTAGGCACATATTTTGGCTCTAAATATGCATCTACCATGAGAGCAAAGCTCAGTCTACAAGCAACTAGTGGTAGCCACTGTTTGCACTAAAATTGTGGAGATCCTTTAGTTCCCAGTTCAATTTCATTTGCTTCTCCCCTTGTGTTTCTGCTAGATGGTTGAAATGCAAGTATGAAATAACATTACATGTTGCACAGAATTCCATTAATATGCAGGCAATATGAAATATTGATTTTTGTTGCTTGATTGATACTTTAGTATCATTTGCAGTGATTTTTATATTCATCAAAATAGACAGTTTTGATGCGATTTTGATCCAATGCCAGTTTAAATGCAGAGACAAAATAATCTAACATAGACAAAGAAATAAAAAGATGAGTTAATGGAAAATATACTGTTTAACTGTACAAAAAAAGAGGACATCATTACGTCTGCTGACACCAGCCCGCCACCATCATAAATACAGGTTAATGTATATTTATATGTGAAGTACATAACTGCTTTTTTTAAAATTTTTTTTTATTGAAATGACTTTCAGGCTAACAACACCAATACTGAACTTAAAGGGCGACTTTTACGAATATATAAGGAAGCAGACATTAGTGATCTTCGCAGTGACATCTCAATTCCTATGCCTTCTACTCCTCTTGAAATATTCGATGAGACCATCCAGGTAAAATTATTTAATGTGGTTGAGTAGTCAAACTGCTTAGCTTTTAACACAACTATCATAGTTCAATCCCTGAAAATTTCTAGATTCATCTTCTACACACAACTATGTTACTAAAAAAGGCTATATTCAAATCTGATTTAAAAAAATTGTTGGTGGTTAACATAATTCAAGTTTGCATGAAATCTGAACAAAATATAAAAAAGATTAAGTGTTTATATAAAATCACTTCCAGTACTTCACAGATCAAAAAATAAAAAAAATCAGTATTTGCTCATTTACAAAATTGCTAATTATTTACTAGTAGCCAATTTAAGAATCTGTACAACAAATATTTATGAATTGAAAAGAAATATCTTCCGTCAAACATTAAAAAAATTCTGTAAATACTGTAAAGTAATAATAATAATAATAATAATAATATTTATTTGTCAAAGTAAGAGTACAATCTTTCCAGGAGCAATGAATAGGCACAAGCCGAAACAGTAAACTGCCCTTGCTCCATCATCAAAATATACAGTAAAGTCAAAAGAGAAACATAAAAAAAGTAAAACTGATTTAAAATAAACTTAATTAACAAAATTAAAAACTTAACCAAATTTTTAAAATCCTTATTTGAAATTTACTCAGAATTTTAGTACTGTAAAAAAGAAAGGTACACCATTTGGAAAAACAAAGAATATTCAAAATAAAAAGAGAAAAACACAAATCAGTATCTTGCGATCAAGTATTTAGTTAGTTGAGCTTTGAAATCAGAAACGGTTGAGAATGCTGAATTTGTACTGGAAGCTGTTCCCAAAGTCTTGGAAAAATTACAAAAGATGAATGTATCAAACGCCCATCACATCTATCACTTGATCTAACAAAATCATTAAAGGAAGAGGGACAGTAGCCACGCATAATCTTAAAACAAAGGGTAAGCAATATTTATAATATTTTGGAATCCTGTTTGAAAAGAAAGGACCCGAAAAAGACATTATTTCCCAAAAAGTTTACCTTCAGACCTACAGGGTGGGCAATTTTAATAATGGGTTCATTATTTTCCAATAGTAAGTAAATGATCAAAATGAATGTCAATTTTTGTTTTCTTTTATTCATTAGCATGACACACTTGTTGCTCAGGCTTCAACAGAAGGTAAACTTTGCAGGACTGAATCTTTAGCAGAATTTTTTGATGCTCAAGAGTATTTACGGTCAGTTTCTTCAGATTCTGAAGAAGATGAGGAAGAATTTACAGAAGTGAGTACATAGCAACATTTATAATAATAATTATAAAAATAATAACCATATAGCTTTGGTCATTTTCAAAATGAGGGAATTTTATACCAGAATTACCTTTATTAAATAGTACTGTGGATATTGATGATATTTATTACTGTTGTACTAATGCAAGTGTAAACATACCATCTTTTCAAAATACAGGTGCATGAAACAAACCATTGTAATAGGATTTATACACTTTCATAACAGTAAATTGCAGTTGAGATTGTTTACGTACTGAGCCCACTTGGGCATTTGTTTTAATTCCGATTAGAAATGTATAAACTCTGATAAAAGTAATCAATCAGATCCGACAATCCAGTAACATTTCCTCTCTACTGTATATCTGTCTCTTATACACATCTAGATGGGTATTAGAGACAGCAATTTTTGTAATGGGTCCACATTTTTAAAAATGGTCCAAATTATATAATTTTATGCATAAAGTAGGTCCACTTTTTGAAAAATGGATCCAGATTTGTTATATTTAGCTTAAAATGGATAAAATTTAAGAAAATGGGTCCAGATTTTTCATGTTTTTGCGTAAAATGGGTCCACATTGTTTTGTCCCGCACTGTTTGAAAATCCTGGCTACGGCTTGGCTAAACGGTATGAAAAGTTCATAATGCTGCCACACCTGCGATCAAATAATAGGTGGCGGCAATGCAATTTCGACTCTAGATGTGTATAAGAGACAGTTCTAGAATAATAATATAATAACAAGTTACCATGATCTCAGCCTTACTCTAGACAGTATATAATATTAAAAATAGGCCCTACAATTTGGTAAGGGGACAGCCTAAATTAAGGTTAATTATGGGCCAAAAAAATTTAATTTTCTAGACCTTCCAGCTAAGTAGGGCCTACCTCAGCTCTATGTTAGGGCAAATATAAAAATATATTAGATTATCACTCCTGCCCACATCAAAAATTCAGGAAATATTGATGCAGGAATAAAAAAAAAAAAAAATTTTTTGCAGCATCAATTATTTCAACAGCATAAAAATAACAATGCAATTTTGCGACTTAAAATACATTTTCTTCAAAAAACTAAAAAATTAAACCAGTTTTTATACAATATTTAATATTACTGACCAAATATATACAGTCCTTCCCTCATCCGTAGAAACAAAAGCTATATAATCTATTGTTCCGATAAAAAACTGCCCTCCCTTATCCATTTTTTTATCCCACTCTCAGAGAGAGAGAGAGGGCTTATATGACGATTTTGAGTGAATTTTGAAGTCATTTGTTTTTCTATCTCTTCCTTCGTTTGTGACACGATTAGGGTGATCTTGCAATAATATGGAAGAGAAGGCTTGGGGAATTTAAAGTATGAAGAGTTTTTGCAAAAATATTGTCGGGAAATATGTGAAATTGTATGTTTTTATATCATATCTCTTACCACTAAGATGGATTTCCTATGAAAGCGTGTTCGTCACTAATCAGATTGCAAGTCGCCTGTATATTCCACATTGTGTTTATCAACCATTCACGGCCTGGAATGGTAAGCTTTGCGGCTAATAAATGCATCTGCAGGAATCTAGTTGATAGCGAAGAATGTACATCCATTTTGTGGCAAGGGAGCGTGGTCTCTCTGAGAGAAAAACAATGTACTCAAAGAGTATCTGTAATGGAGGCTAGTCTAGACGAAGATGAACTATAGGCTGGCCTGGTAGTATGTGTGTGTAGTAGATCAAATATTACAGGAAATGTAGGCTACAAGTTGCTTTTATGTGTATTAAACCACACATGCAAACCAGTTAGTAGCTATGAGTGTATGTATCAGCACATTTCATGTCAATGTAATGTCTTGAGTCTTGAGTTAAATACTCCTTAAAAAGCATCTGCTTGTCCTAGGAGGTTTCGTGCTGTGGAGTGTGCTGTTTGGTGCTCGCAAAACCAGTCAGTGTAAGTTAATTTACAAGTGATTTAAGAGTGCAAGTAAAATTGGAAAATATTTCAATCGCTAAAACTGTTTGTGGGATGCTGTAAGAAGCAACTCCCTCAGTACTGGCAATGCCAAAGTTTGAAATTGGGTAAGTGTTGGTGCTGTAACTACTTGTATTGGTAACCTGTTCCACATAGATATTGTGTGCACAAAGAAGGAATATCTATAGTTGTCGACTCTTGTTTCTATGTTCTGATAGGCCAGGATGTTTGATGTTCTACTTTGACGAACAGCTGGAATAACGCAAGATGGGAATGGAATATTTACAAGTTTGTTGTGAATCTTATAAAACATTGAGCATTGATTTAAAAGTCTCCTGGTAGCTAAAGAATCCCACTTAAGCTGCTCGAGCATCTGGGTAACACTTGATGTTCGACTGTAGTTGTTAAAAACAAATCTCACCGCTTGCTGTTGCAGCCGCAAGTGCATTTATCTGGGCTTTAGTATGTGGGTTCCAGGCTGCCGAGGAGTATTCTAACTTTGGTCTCACTAGAGCTTGGTAGGCACGGGTTTTAACTTTGGGAGAACATGACGATATATTTCTCCTAAGTACTCCAAGTGTACTACGTGCGCTTGAAGTGATTGTTTGGACATGATCCTTCCAGTTAAGGTGTTTATTGATGGTAACTCCCAGATACTTGTGTTTTGTGGTTTCCTCTATGCATTGACCCTTAGCTATGTATGTATGTTTCCACGGTTTTGTTTTACGAGTGATTGAGATGGAGCTACACTTGGCTGTATTAAAGCACATTTGCCATTGGTCAGCCCACTGAAGAACTCTATTCAGATCACCTTGAAGCTGTTCTTGATCATTTATATTTTTAATTTTTCTATAAAGGATGCTGTCATCAGCAAACAAACGGAGGGATGAATTTACATTCGTTACTATGTCATTTATATAGACCAAAAAGAGGTTTGGACCCAAGACGGACCCTTGTGGTACTCCAGATGTCACGGGGGACCAACTTGAAAGTGTACCATTAACCACTACACATTGCTCTCGTCCAGCCAGAAAGCCTTCCATCCAGCTAAGCGTTTTGCCTCTTATACCATAATATTTTAGTTTTGTTGCCAATCTGGATTGTGGTACTTTGTCAAATGCCTTGCTAAAATCTAGCAGTAAAACATCTGTCTGCCCTCCCCGGTTTAAGACCTCAGACCAGTCTTGAGTTGCCTGAATGAGTTTCACATGACAGTTTTTCACGAAAACCATGTTGCTCACTGATAATGATGTTATTTTTCGCTAGATGTTTTGCTGTGTGAGATAGTATGATATGCTCCATAATTTTACATGAGATGCATGTGAGACTGACAGGACGGTAGTTTATTGGTTGTGATTTGGAGCCCTTCTTATAAATTCCAGTAACCAACGCTTTTTTCCAGTCTCCTGGAAGTAATCCTGTGTGATATGATTGCTTGAGTATAAAATGCAATATTGGACCAATTTCAGATGCGTATTCTTGTAAGAATCGTGCGGGTATATTATCTGGACCACTGGCCTTGTTACATTTGAGTTGTTTGAGCTGGGTAATTACACCATATAAACCTATGTCCAAGTCTGGTATATCTTGGTATTGTGAGTTTCCCAAGTCTGGTAGGTTTCCCGTATTTTCTTCTGTGAAAACAGATGAAAACTGATCATTTAGAGATTGCGCAATCTCCTTGTTTGTAGTATATATTTTGTTGTATACAGTCAGTGGTGGTATACCTAGTGATTCTCTCCTTAGTGAACGTATATATAGGTCCAAAATCTTTTAGGGTTGGAATCAAGACTGGGGCCCAGAACATTTGCCTTGTAATCTTCATGGCTATCACGAAGGAGCTTTGTAACATAATTTCTCTGTTTCTTATATGCCCTTCAGATCTTTACTTTCCGATTTGATTCAGCCCTTTTTGATTTTCTGTAAAGTTTATCTCTCTTTCTCATAGGGGTCTTTCTCTTTTGCCAATGAAGACCATCACAGTTTATAACCATAGTCTTTAATCTTGGCACCTTCATTCTTTTCTTGGACTTTTTATTAAATTCTGCCCTTTTCCCTTTTTCCGGAGTTGAAGTTTGAGCAGGTTTGAAGGTCAAATGGTCATCTTGATTGAAGGACCCACTATCAACATTGTCATCCAGTAAATCAAAGGAGTTTGATGTGCTCATAAGGGCACTGTCAAAAATACCAGTCGATACATTTGGAAGTCCACAATTTTAAAGCAAATCTAGGAAAGCTTTGAATTTTTACAATGGATATCATATAAGAGGTCGGCCATATTTGTACACCCCGTATGGTACCATGTTAAACACTCATCGCAGAAATTCCTTGGTGTTCATCTTGGACTTTCTGTTTGCAGATTCCGCATGGAATAGTGATCTTTGGGCCGGGGTTTAGTTCAACTTGACCGCTCATGAACAGTGCAAGTAATATTAGCTGCCTACATGATGTGCTTTGTTGATGCAGTAACCCTGTTCTATAGTAACAGTTTGGTCTGAAATTCAGAGAAAAAGCAACAATATATTGTTGCCAGTTATGAATCCTATTTAAATCGTTGTGATGTTTCCCCATGATAAGGGAGAATGATTGACAGTAATTTGTTTCGTGCCATTCCCAGTTTCTAGTAGACCAATATCTGGAATGTACATTGTCTTGATCAATGAAGTTCTCTTTTGATGACTCCAATTTTCTGTATATATGTAGAAAAGTTAGTATAAGTAGCAAACATTTGAGACTGAGCTCCATATTACTATTAGTTACTAGTATAAAAGACGACTGAGTTGAAGGTCCAGCTCCTGCGCTAATTAGGCTAGACCTAGAATTTCTAAGATAACAGGTGGGTATTTCAAGGCCAATGATAACCAGGCCCAGTGTAGAAAACAGTGGGCCTATCTGTAAGCACTAGTTAGATCAGATAATTTGATGTAAAATTTGATAAATTTGTAATGTAATAGCTGCTTGCGTGTCCTTAGACCGTATAATGTTGGTATGCTGTCACTTGTGTTCAAATTTCTTGCATTCAAAATGGCCGACACACATGCATAGCT